GAGGGGGGAGTACTTGCTTTTTTCGCTAGTTTCCGTCGACGTCTCGAGCCATTTGTGAAACCTTGTGAAGCCATGACGTGATACCTGCCAAAGTTTGCAGAGTCCACTTGTCAACTCTTATAATGCAATGAGCACACGGCGCATGGAAAGTAGCGAAAGTGCAAATTTTCCCCCTCCCCCTCCACCGTGAGGCCGAACTGTGCTATTCTTTTCACCCCATCAGAGAGTTCCTAAAGATCTCTGCGCTAACTTCTGTGATTGCCCCAACCGATCGAGGAATGTCTGATCAACTGCTATCTATTCTACTTTTCCAGGAAATCGCCATACTCCGACGAGATCTGACTGAAGCTCGAGCCGATCGGGACGCCATGGAAAAGGAAATGCAACAGCTCATGCTACAGGTGATTTTCTTCATTTCTATTTATCTATGTTGTAACCGCATTTGGTGACTCGAAATAATTACTTTGAGGGGGACTGAGTTATTTTCGTTTGTTTGATTATAACTTTGGAGTGTGTTCATACTTTGCTTCATACCTTGCGTCAGCATTTTGAACGTACACTACTGTTTTGGGTGACTAGGAAAGCATACATAATGATCCAGCGCTCTGAACTTGTGCTGAGCGTAAAATACAGTATAGTCACTTCCACGGAAATTCCTAGTTTCAGCTATTTTTCCCAAATGAACCTTTGAGAGCACATCTCTCGCTTTTTATGTGGGCGGAGTCGGGCCTAAGGTCATGTCTGCCTCGTTGGCGCACACTTCCCCCTTCACCATCTTAGAAGGAAGTGTGCATAGAGATTGGTCGTCTCCGCCCATAAGAACAGTGTGAACAGCGATTTTGAGGCATTGGCTAGTCTCGCTAGGGAAAAACCCTGTCAAATTAATCCCCTGGGGTTGATTCTATAGCTAGATGAAATTTTGTATAACTTACATTCATGTCTTTTTTGCTGAATTATGTTGGCGTTTTTTCTCTGCGATGTGAACGCCTATTTGCCTTGATGTATAGGTGTCAAGAAAGACAATTACAGTAATCTTTCTGTTTGACTGGTCGTTTGACGTGAACGTTTTGCCATCATCCAGATGAGCGGTTGTGCTAATTACCTTCCTTGCATTTTTTTATTTGGTTGTTTCTTTTTTTATCATTTTTATCTTTCTTGTTCACTGGTTTTGTGTCTACTGTGTACTATGGAGTACTGTAATGCCTTTGGGAATTTGCGGCTTTTTGTAATTGCTATCATCATCCGCTTGGTTTTTGGTCTGGAAATAAGGACCGTCAATTGGCCCCACGGGTGTATGGAGCCTATAATCCCGGAACAAAAGCCAGCTGGTCTCCAGAAAGATGGTTTGATGCCTCCCATCGCGTTCTCTGCGTGTGGCCAAATCGATGAGTCGGAGGGATCGGACCACGTTTCATAGCTTTATGCTTGCGCGGGTGTGTTTGGGTGTTTTGTTCAAATAGAATTACTACATTTTTTTACAACACTTCGTTTCCTCTATCTATCTGCCAGTCCTCTCCATTAGTAGTCCTAGTTGCCAGCCCTTTCTATTAGTTGTTTTCACTTTAAGTCCAGTTTCCCCTTTATCCATCATTTTCAACCTTACTTAGTTGCTAATGAACATTTGTGTACGGAAGTGTAGGGCCTGAAATCCACACGACTTTTTGGAGACTGAACAAAACAGAGAATGACTGAAAGAGGGAGAAGGCGGGCACGGAAGGAGAGGAATAAAAAGAAATGCTTTCGGGTAGGTAAAATGAAATGTGAGCGTTATTAGATTATTCATATCCATGCGGATGTTCAGCTAACGAGGGGCTTGCTTCGTTTTTGCAGAATTCCCTCCACCGTACTCGGGAACCTTCATAAACTTCCAGCGGCATCTCACTCTTAAAGGGAGGATAAAATGCTAATGATTATTGATGCGGATGCTTAGACGGATGCCTTGAAGAGACAGTTTAGGAGCTCTGACCATTCCAGTGTGGAGGACCCGGTGTAATTAACTGAAAAAATGACGTAGGGGACAGTTCCAGTACTTCTGACAGCAGCGGCGATCGCAGCGGTCGTAGCGATCGCCGCGATCGGCGGTATGCGACCGAGCGCGCCCCAGCCTACTACTTGAACCGCTGGCTTTAATAAAATAAAGGAAGTCCAACTTGTAAGGCTTTATTTCTGATAGTGGCCAGTAATAGGCAACTAACTTTTTTTTCTCGTGATCAGGAGATCCGGATATATGTGGAGGGAATTTTCTCGTTTTTTTCCGGCTGCGAATATGCTAAGAAGCAGCTTCTGTCTCCTATTTGAGCTTTTTTTGTTTTAAACTTGTTTCAGTTGAACTGAGTGTCTTGAAATCTCCAATTTGGCAAATTCTTCACTTCCACAACACTTATTGGTTTACTAATTCGAGTTCAAACAATGAAAAATAAAGAAATGTGAAAAAGAAACTCACGATCAGCAGAATTGGAATGAATTCTTTGATGCAACATAAAGGAGGAGAAAAACTCCATAACGTTCAATAGTGTAGGCACGATAGGTAAAATAGAAAGGTAATAAGAAAACCATGCCTTAAGGGAGCACTCGCCTCAGCGCTTTTTGCTCATTTTAATTCCTGAGTCAAAAAAGAAAATAAAAAGAAGAAGCGCCACTGATTTGGGTGCACTTTCCCTAGAGTCATAACAAGCTTCAGTACCTGAAAGAATTGCAATTAATGGAAAAGAAGCCCTAATTGAGCGCGGGTCCTCGCCTAACTACCGATCCAGAAAGTGTTTCGACGTAATACTGTTGGTCAAGGCTCGATGCGCATATCCGAACGACGCGGCGAACGCGACGATCGCGGCGATCGCTACGATCGCCGTGATCGCCGCTGCTGTCGCGAAGTATGAACGCTGCTTAACTTTGTCCCAGCTTTGACATCAGATCTGAGGCGATGCCTCACCGTTTCTGATACGCTTCGCAGCACATTCTGCGCGTGTAATAGAGCAGGGTCTTCTTCACCGACGCACCTAGCAGTTCACCATGTTAAGGTGCGTGCCAATGATTGGGGTACAATGACAGGTACGACTACGTTGGTAGGACCAGAATAACTACAAGGGGGACTCTAAAATGTGTCGTCATAGTGAAATGGACGAAGTGGAGGCGCTGAACCTAACGAGGAACTCGTAGTAGAGCCTAATATTTCTTCTCTCTGTTCTTAAGCAGTTCCTCTCCTTGTTTTTCTAGTCCGCACTCTCATATTCTTCGCCAATATCGTGCCTAGTCTGAAAACCGGTCGAAAGAAAGAGAGCTTTCCTTCCCTTTCTTTGATTCACACTTTATTGCATTTTGCTTGTTTTTGTTTAACTTTTGGATATTTCATCGGTTTCTTTTTGATTCTGCTGACGAATAATCTTTGAACTTTTGTTATCCTGCTGACCAGGTCCCGCGCTTACGACCAAACACCACTTGCCTTTTTTAGGCGGCCGGCAATTGTTTTTACCCACTTCCGGTAAATCTCGGCCGTTTCCACCACTGCATGCCGTTGTTCCCTTAGGGATCTAATGCGCAAGGAGTGCAGTTTGCCTCGGGGAGGACACCAAACGGTTTTCAACGAAGCTTGTGCAGGCCACATTGTGGAGACTTGTTAATCCTGTAACAATGGTGGATCACTTTTACCCTGTTCGCAGCTTCATAAGAGTTTTTTACAGATCTAAAGTAAGAATTGTCAATTATAATAATATGAACAAATTGGAAGAAGGCGCGAGATGCCCCCCCCCCACTCCAAGCTGAATTGTGCGCCGCGTGAAGGCACTGAACTGCCTGCACTTTGGGATCTTGGATGCAAAATCTTTCAATCTATCAGGAAGAGCTCACCCTGCGTTTATTTGAATAAGCGGTGGTGAATGTACGATCAAGCTGACCTCGTTGGGCCGTTTCATGAGCTTACAAGAGTTGTTCTGTCGTGGTGGCTCGACGAGCTTACTCCAGCTCCGCAATAGTTCACAGGCTTCAACAGAGTGCGATATACAACCGGCAACTGGTGACAGCGCTTGCAAGTCGTCGTCCTCGCAACTGCCCCATTTATTTATTATCTTTTCATCATTTTGGTTATCACTTAATTTTTTCGCTGGCAGGTGATGGTAGTTGGCAAGTGAAACTCGTTTACACGCGCGCACGTCCGGTGGGTCCAATCCCTTGGATCGGTCCCCATACCCAGCCCACCCAACCTTCACCCTCTGAGGACTGTAAATTGGTAAGTCAGATTTTTCGTCTGGAACGGAATAGCACATCGGCCCCTGGCAACGGCAAGCGGAGCGTATGGGCCACATCGCCATTCTTAAGCCGCCTCCCACGAAGTCCTCACAAGCATTTCCCAGAAGACCCCGCTTTCTCCGGCTCAACGTCCGAATAGCTCCTAAGAGCTCCTTCTTCGTCCGTCTTCTAAGAGCTGTGTCTTCGTATTTTCATTTGAGAAGTGCTCACTCGATTCAAGTCATCCGCATCGTCATCCAATCCTCAAGGCAGGATTGAGTAGATCCTGCGGCGCTGGCTACTATATATCTTCGCCACTTTTCTGCACGGCTCTAATTTCAGATCCGAGGCTATTCTTCACTTTTTTCCTGTTTCGTAAAGTGGGGAGAAGCGGTTGCGGTGAAACTAGCATGGCTAATAGCGTCACGTAAGCAGCAATCTTACGTCCAGGAACTACAGCCGGGGTCAGCCCATTCCACCCCTTCTGACACCACACTCGACTGATTGTGACAATATCAATTATACATCATTTAATGTGACCCCCTACTGTATGTCGGTTCAGCCCGCCGTGGAACACGACTAGTTGGGGCGTGTCGTCACAACACGGATCTCCCAACCGGCTCCAGCACCCCTAAAGAGTTTAATAAAATTTCGTCTCTTGAATTTAGCCTTGGTTGTTGATTTGGGACATCTGGGACATTTATTGTAAAGAAAGGTACTTTCAGGTACACAGCCTGCAATGCCAGTTGCATGCAAAAACGGCTCCGCATGAATCGGATATGATCAAGAAGAAGCTGGTGAGTGTGCTTGCTGAGACATGCAGCTGTTGTATGCAACTTTCCTCGAAGTTAAAGGCACATTCCGCAACAATCGGATAGGCGGGGCTCGCCACCACTGTATTTTAGTGAATGGTGTGCTTCGTCTTTCAATGCAGTAAAGGGAAAGGGTGTGCCAATGGGGCTCTGAGTCTCGGCTCACTTCTTCGGGCACGTTCCGCTTGTCGCGGAGCTTGTACAGGCCACCTTGTGAAGACCTGAAAATTCCTGTGACCAAAGCGGCTCGCCTGAAAAATTTCGCAGCTTCACAGGAATTTACAGGTCTGATCAAAGTGAGACCTGTTAGTTAAGAAAAACAAAAGGAACTAGCGAAAACACCAAATGCCCCCTCCAAGCCGAATGGATCCCTTGCTTGTACATCCGGTTATCACGGAATGTGCCTTTAACCTGCTTGATGTCGTACTAAGCGATAAAAAAATACATTAGGAGGACCGCAACGTGTTTTTTCTTTAATATTAACAATGATAATAATAATAATAATAATAATAAAGTGGATTTCTAATGTTAGGATTCCCAAATTGGTCAATTGCACGATGTATTGATGCCATCATTACGTACTGAATGTGAGCTCGAGGTGCTTCGAAAGGAATGTGATCGACAACGGCATCTGATCGGTGCGTTGGAGACAGAGGTGTTCGGTGCCCGGCTAGCCGCCAAGTACCTTGACAAGGTAATCGTCTATTTCTTTTCTTTTTCTGACCTTTTTCTTCATAAGAAGTACGTGAAAAACCAACATTTTCTTGCTCTCTGCTTCTTCTAAAACGTTATGGCCATGGAAGGGCAGTATCACACGGGAGAGAGAGGTGGGGGGGGGGGGGACATAATGACTCTTTGATATCACAATTCGCACATATTAGGTTGTCCCAAAAGTTCTGGGACACTTTTTGAATCTCGTATCAGATTTTTCCGCAGCCATTTCGAGATCCAGTTATGTGGTCTATGGGAAGTGTGTGAGGTAAGCATTCCACAGCTTCTTCACCGTCCCTCGCAGTCGCTGTTCTCATATGAAAAACGGTAATTGAAATTCATCATTTTCGACACACTTCGCTATATGAATCTCTACCAAGCCACAACGTGGTTGGAGCCATAAGCGGCATTTCCCTTATTTAGATCTTGATGTTAGCTTCCACAGTACGGGCTTTGGAATGGCTCAATGACTTCTATCCGGGTAAAAACTTCGTCCAAGGAGGCCACCTGCCTTGGATTTGGACCTACTGTGTTCCTTGATTAAAACCAATTCGTACGAATCAACTTGCTACCTAGTCCTTACACTTGACTGGTCCCAAAGCACAAATGAGAGAAGGCCTCGCTCCTTAGAAAAGTTCTGAAGTTCGGTCAAAATTTTTCTCATCAGTTGACCAGTACTCCAAGGGGAGCACATGTGGGTACTGTCTACAACTTCTTTCCCGCTTCCGCTGTACGGGCTGGTTGAACAGCACTGTAACTGGATATGGAGTGGGTGCCTCTAGATGAATCACTCCTGGGAGCGCCAGCGGCTAGATCCCCAGAAAGGGCAGAACCGATCGCGCAATCCTATCAATCCAGTAGGGCGGTGAGGCTGTGTATGTGGTGGGGTACCTTCTCCGCTCTCAAATTAACCAGGGAGCCCTATTGTAATCAACTGCAAAGTGGGGTGGAAAATCTCTACCATTTGGTCCCAAAACCGAGCAATGTTTGCCTACTCCACCACACCTCAGGGTCAAACATTTGGAAAACGACACTGCTCGAGATCCCGAAGCTTAGCTGGGGAATTCCACCACAGTCTTCGTGTAGCCCTGACTTAGCTCTTTCCGATCGCCATCTAAACTAATCCCACAGCGGCCATCTTCTTGGTAAAAAAATACGATTTTTGATAGTACCTCAAAAATGACCCAGCTGCCTTTCTGGCCACAGAACTAAGAGGCTTCTGGAAGCAGGGCAACCACACATTGCGTAGTGATTGGCAACAAGTTGCCAATGAAGGTGACATATATATATAGCTGATCAAAATTGCTTCCCACTGAATAAACTTAATTCGAAAAAAAGTTTGAAAGTGTCCCAGAACTTTTGGGACAACCTAATACATATTTTCCTTGCGCAGTTGTGCTCATCCTTACATTGATGATCCTTGCTCTGCTCGCTCTGTCAACAATCCCTTTCACCTTCATCTAATCCGATCAATTCCAGGAATTGGCCGGCCGTATTCAACAAATTCAGCTGCTGGGACGGAATATGCGTGGGGTCGAGCATGACCGTTTGTGGAATCAGCTGGAAGCGGAAATTCATCTTCATCGTCACAAAACCGTCATCCGAGCGTGTCGGTGAGTACGTGGGCGTATTTTCTTGTGTGTTTATATACAGGGGGGCCAAAAAAAAGTCATTCCGGCCGAGTCACATATGAGCGAAGTTTGCAGCCCAGACAGAGGAAGTGGATATGAGTACCAGGGCGGAAGATACCCAAGATCTTCCTCTATAAGCAGGAGCCGGCTGCCGCCATTCACCTTCATGTACACCAAAATATGAAGTCATCTCCAGTCGCGGCCTGAGTGGAGAACGCCTTTGGAATTCACGTGGCCTCCAAACAGCTGCGGAACTTCTTGAATGGAATCACCCATGGATAGCTACCTGGAGACCAGTACTCTTGATCTGCAAGACCCCAAACATCGAGCAGCTCCGGCAACGTCGCTACGGTCCAGGACATCATCTTCACCCATTCACCAAGGCGCGGGTTGATGGTGTGGACCGGCCGTACCTGGAATGGGAAGACCGATATTTTCTTTGTAGACCCCGACTGAAGGTGAGCGCTGGCGGTTACATCAAGTAACTCGAGAAGGATATCCTCCCTACATGTGGTCGCCCGTACCTTCTTGGAGACCTTGTGCTGCTACAGGTTTGGGTGCCACCACATGGAATCGAAGGGTTTTGGAAAAAAACTCCCGCCTACTTCGAATGGAAGGGCGTTTCGTACCTGATGAGATGTAATAAAAAAAAAAAAAAAAAAAAAAAAAAAAATATTGAAAGTATGTCCCCTGACCTGAACCCACTCAATTACCTAGTTCGGGCGGAGCTCAACAGGGTGGTCTACAGTGGCGGAGAAATCAACGATCTCGCTCAACTCCGGTACCCACTCACTTTCGCGCGGCCGAATCTCTCGATGGCGCTCCTCCAGAAGGCTGTGGCGGAGTATCGTTATAGTATTTAATGTGCTCTTTAATATGGTAGTAAAAATGTCCGGTAAAAATTCAATAAAGTGTAACTTATAGCGCCTTGAAAGTCATGGAGGAAAAATGTGACTTTTTTTTTTGGCCCCCCCCCCTTGTATACGAATTGGGCACTCCATTGCCTTTGCCGAAAACCACTCCCGCAAAAATACGACCCCTCAGAATGTCCCCCTCTGATATGACCCCCTCCCATGCTCCCTATCGTCGTCCCGAATGCTCTACAACTTTCTACCACCTTTCCGGAAGAATTTCTCCTTTTTTTTTTGATACTAACCGTCCAGCAGAAGTTATATAGCACGCTGCAGTAAAAAAAAGAAAAGACGAAAAGTCAACAATTGAAGACATTTTTCTCGAGGGCAGATTCCACCCACCACCCACCTCCCTGCAGCGGTCAAAAGCCACCCCCTGGATGGGAGGGATCCCCAAACAGCGACCTGGGACTTGGTTGCGCTGAGAAAGGAAAGTCAAGTTCGAAGTGAGATAGGTCAACGGATGTGCGCTTTATTTTAGATCTTTAGGGAAGATTACCCCGCCGCCTAAACTAAGAGTTTCAGGGTCGCGGTCAAAACCGAAAGGCCTTCCTACACCGCCGATGAATGAATGCAGTCAACCGATGAAAAGGAGGCGAGGAGTCGGTGACACTAGGAAAGTCGTCCTGGCTAAACAACCGCACGAAGGACTAGGAATATCGATTACGGTAAGTATGGGCATAATCTGAGGGCAGTTCGGGGACTAGCTTGTTTGATGCCGCCCAGAATGAAGAGAGGCAGAAAAGGCGCGGTAAATAGGCAGCCGTCGCCGAAACGCGCCCCGCACAGCCTTCAGATAACCACTGTTTACTACAACATTTAATAGTAAAAGACGTTGGAAAAAGGCTCTAGATGACATAGTAGATTACTGTCAAAAAGGTTATTGGGAGGCATGAAACTGAACAAATAGAGGCTCTTTCGAAGAAAAAAACGGCTGAACTGAAAAACTTTCTTAGGCTTGGAATTTATGGACCGGCTCTAGTTCAGATTTCTAGAAAGGATTTTGTCCCAGGCGGTTTCAACTCCTATCCGAGTTGCAAGTTAGGTCCAGAACTGAGCAGATACGAGGCAAAACAAAAATCAAAAAAAAAAATTACATTCGACTTTGCCACAATTTTTGTATGCCCAACTCAGTGGCGTACAAAAATTGTGGTGTGGCAAAGTCGATATTTGGTTAAAAGTACTAACAGCTGCCATTACTGTAAGTAGTTCAAGTTAAGTCCAAAGCAAGGTACTGATCCGCGTCATTGTTCGAGTGAAGGTTAGCTTGAGTTCAGGTCGCCACGTCACCTTACTCCTCACCCGTAGACCTAGGTGGCCCAACTCATTGTGGCAAAGTCGAATCGGTTAAAAGTACTCAGTAGTTCAAGTTACCGTATGCAGAGCAATGACGCCTATGCAGCAAGAGAAGCCGTGATAGAGGTAGTAAAAGAGGAAGAGCGGTGTAGATGCTGTGATTTATGAAATCTAAGAGTCGTGAATTGCAGGCACTCTGACGCTCAAGACGCGGCCCTACCCTGTCTGTCGCACTTACTGGAGGTTCACCCTCGTCCCCCAACCTCTCTTCTCTGGAGCAGTGGTTAGGCTAGGACAGTAGGACATGTGGGCGAGACCTTCAGGAACACCCACAATGGATACTGTAGGAGTACCCTCTGAAGGCAGCAGTCATCCAAACGGCGGAGCATTCACATTTGCCACCCTGGAGTTTGAGATATAGAATAATTCACAGTTGTCCTGTCACCGCAAGCAATAGGTCGCTCGAGCAATAGCTCACTCCCAGCAACGAGAAGTAACGCCCATCTGGTAAGCCTCCGCCCAAATGTTCTACGCGACCACTGTCTCTAGATCCATTTCATGCAATGGATACGTTCGAAAAGTATTCGTTTATCTCGAGTTGTTGTTCAACCCAAACGTTACACCTCTTGTCAGCCATTTCCAATTTCTCAAATTACAATAAAGGTTTTATTAGAAAACTTTGATTGCTTTCGGCAATGAAGGTTGATTCTCAAGCGACCGCTCCGTCAACCCTTCGCCAACACAGAGCACATCATGGCGCATTGAGGGGATCTCTAGCACGGCCCCTCCGTTTTCCTCCGCCACCGCCTCTAATACGACTCCTCTCTGACCTAGAAATCCAGTTTGGTGTACCTCTTTATCTGCAATTTCCCAAAACAGTTTATTTGTCTAGAGAGAACGGCATTGCGATATTTATACTGGATCAGAATCGGTAAAAACCCGGCGCTGTTTGGCTTGGGTGCGCTTTCGCTAGTTCCTTTTGCCAGTCTCTGTACAACACGTCGCACCTCGGTGGGACCTATATACTCTTGTCAATGCAAACGAAGCACCTTCAAATTCCTTACCTTCACAAGGAATGTAGAAGTCTTCAGCTAGGCGTTGACAGTGATCGACAGGAACCAGAAAAGCGCCCCTACAAATTCGAACTGCGTCAAAAGCCCTCATTTTCCCGTTGTGAACCTAACTCCATCTTTTTCACTGCTAAGGACCCTTAACAGCGAGGCAAACGCAACCTCTTTCCCCAGGGACTCAAGTATGCTCTTCATCGAAGACTCTCAAACCACCTACCCTGTTCTCCAAGTCATCGCTACAACGGTAATTCCTGACGGCCCTCGTACTAGGTATATCCGTACGGAACCTGTTCACGATGCGCTTCTCGAAAATTGAACTATTTTGGGATGCACCTGAGGCCGTTGTAGGGGATGGGAGCAGTTCAGCCGTTGCAGCATCACATTGTGTATCGTTGTAGGTGACGTTCAGACAGGAACGGAAATCTGGTTTTCTGATTTGGGCTCCATTACACACGATTACGCATTGTTCGCACTCTCTGGGCCTCGTAGAATCGGAAGAATCGCAAAAAGAGACGTATACTCAAAGGCAGTTGGCACGATAAATCCCTAAAGACAAGCAGTAATGCATGCATAGCATGTCAATTCCGTGACCCTGAATAGGCGCTGCGGGGTGGGCCTCTCCCAAGGAGGGTACCCTTATATAGGCCCTATGAGCAGCAACATACGACCCGGACTCCCACCTCGCCCGCCCGCCTTCCATTGGACGTATAGCATCACAGCACGAGGACGTGCCGTTGTGGACCGCCCGTGTCTACGTGTACGAACCGCCCGTGCCTACGTGTAACGTAGATTGACGTAGAACGTACTGCTGGCTTTTTACCAGCAGTAAACGGTTCAAGTCGGTAGACTCGTCCAAAGCAGCGCCCGCCCCAGCCGTTTCCTCGTCCCACTGCCGAAGTGCAGCGAAGAAATAAAGCCCC